AGCAGCAGCAGCAGCAGCAGCCCCAGCAGAGGAGATCCCCTGTCAGCCCCAGTCAAGGCCCCTTCCCCCAGAGAAACGCTTATCAGACCATCATGAATAACAGCAAAGGGTCGTCGTCGTCCTCCTCCTCTGCCCCGTCGTCTGCTTGGAATAATCACCAAAACGCCGCCTGGAGCACAGCCTCCAACCCCTGGAGCGGGCTGCAGGCAGGCAGGGACCCGCGCAGAGCGGTGGGCGTCGGGGTCGGGGTCGGGGTCGGAGTCGGAGTCGGTGTGCCGTCATCCCTGAACCCCATCTCCCCCATGAAAAAAGCCTATACCAGCAATGTTATAGCACCCCCGAAATTCCCAAGACCCGGTCCCCTCACCCCCAAGCCCTGGATGGAGGACAGCGCCTTCAGGACTGACAACAGCAACAACATACTGCCTTTCCAGGTAAATATGTCCTTCCAGTTCGAGCAGGCCTGGGCCTACCTCTGCTGCTTCAGCCTCTGTTTAAAAAGGTTTTCCACTTTGACATGTTGTCGGTCTCAACCTGGTGGTCGACCTCTCACAAATATAAACCTATAGCAGGATTGTTTCAGGTGCATTATGTAAATATTGAAGGGGAAAAACAGCAGTGCTTGACGTGAAGAAAATCTAACCATAGGCTAGCCTCGGATAAGGTCACCCTGAACTCCTCACCACCACGGATTCATTATGGGTCCACATATTATAGTGACTGATAGCTGTTTGTGTCACAGTCAGTTAGACACATTTGCAATTAAGCCATTCTTTTATGCATGACTCATAGCTATTGTCAAACATCTTGTGGTTCTTCACACATCAGGTCGCAGCCGCACAGGCATTCATTTTGAATTAATTCAGACAACTCAGCATAAAATACCTTTTTATTTGAAATGTGCGACATGCTGAAGCTTTGACTGATGTGTCTCGGCTGAGCTGACAAATGAGCATCTGCTTTTGCCGGTAGCAGTGACATTATTATAGGGGCATGTATGGTGGCAGATTGTGCTTGTGGAGGTCAGATAAATCGCATGAGACAGCGAGTCCTTGAAGTATTTCCCATCGATCATTGCTATTTTTACGCAATCAAAGACAAACACCACTGAGTCATTCCTAGATATAGTCGCTGAGCGCAGTTTATTGCGCTAAATGGTTCATTTCCCTCCGCCAGCTCACTCTCCGTCAGGTTTAAAGGACACATGACGCATTCAGGTGCTCCTCGTAACCCTCTGAATCCAGACTGACAGGACCTGTGTGTGTGTGTGTACTACTACAATTACTTGTTTTCAGTGATATATTTTGAGAAATGCGGTACAGTAAGCTGCAGAAAGAATGTATTAAGAGGAAAAAGTGAAATTAAAACTCCAACATATAATCGTAATACTAATAATAAAACTAATACTGATGATGATATAATTGTTATTACCACCGAGCGGCGAAAGGGGGCCGCCGGTCGTCTTAACACGGTTAAATTCCTCCAACCTTCTTATTTCATATAAAATTATTAATTTGTCTTTGGCTATTTTCAACATTGTAATTACCACATTTTCGACAGTACCTAAAGGCATCATATATACTCTCATTTGATTGGCCTGTGATCGGACAGTGGGCGGGGTTTGAACCTGAGCTGGAAACAGAGCGCAGGTCCAACCCGGAAGGTACAAAGTTTTTATTTCACCCTCAACAATTTACAGTAAAAAGAAGCTAAAATAGAAACTTATTATTAGTTTCAACTCTACATTTTACACAATGCAAATGCCGCCATTCATATATGTGTGTGTTTCTGCTGTGAGAAAGCTGCTAAACCATGAAAAGGTTGTTTTTTTCTGTTAAAAAAGAAACACTGACAGCTTATAAGCAAAGTGGCATTGAAGTTACATAACTGTAGTTTGAGAATGGGTGACTCTGTAGCTCTCAGCAGTCCAAATACAGCGAAATAACCCGTTGCTGTAGGTTCATATTACAACATGGGACCCAGCATTTGTTAACTACCCACAGAGGAAAGGGGAAGGATGTCCTGTTTATTACAGAATGAACAAAGAAAGTGTGAGCACTGGTCTTATACCCGTATGTCCGGGCTTTATCACCTACACACGGGTACGTACGAGGCTGACGTACTGCATTGTTACCTGTCTTTTGGTCCACCAGCCTAGTGGACACCAGAGCGCCAGGTTCATACTGGTTTGACTGTATTTCAGTCCGCCATCTTGCCTTGATTGATGTGTCTCATTACAGGGTAGACTAACATGAACAGTCCCGACACTGTATGGTATTTTTCACATGGTTAATCATGTGTTCCCAC